GTTTTTAATTTTTGTTTATCTTTATCTTATTTTTACTATAGGTCTTCAACTCAATACATATTTATTAAGTACAAGTTATGTGGCATCACCATTATTCTGGGCCCTGAAGACACCGAAACAATGTTGTATCCCTGTCCTCAAGAGAACCATACAGCCTGAGAAAGATAATATGTAAACAAAACAAAAATTAAGTGAAATAGGTGCTGTATAGTAATAGTCTGTATAAGGGATGTAGGGAAATAAAGAATTAATCTATTCTATTTGGGGATGGGGTCGAATCAGAGAAGGTTTCAGAAAAGATGACTCCTTGAAGGAGGAATTATCTTAATTATTTTTGCATTTCTAATACCTAACATTCATTGCTCCATAAATACTTGGTAATGGTGAGTCTTAAAGTTGGTATACACAGAGCTCCTTGAATCAACTGGCCTTTACTTTTACTCCACTTCAGAAATCCACTCTCAAGGTTGCACAGCATATTGTGGTAACACAGGAACTGCTCCTCCTCCAACACCATTAACTCCGACATTCAACTGTCTGGCTTCAGTCTCTCATCCTTCTACCTCTTTCACAACCACTTTACCTCCTCAGTTCCTCTAGCCTGTCAGCATCTCCATTTTACCTCAGTTCATCATTCTCTTTTGCTGTATTTTTCTATTGTAATATTCTGAAATGTTATGTATTCCTCTATTTTTGTATTATATATTTCTATTGCTGCATTTACCATACAGCATTATAATTTACATAAAAATGGGTTTTCTTTCTCTACTAGATCAAAACTTTCCTTAGAACAGGTATTAGATTCTTTTTATCAGTACTGCATCATTAATACCCCAAACAGGGCCTGACCCATAAGTGCTCAGTAGATGTTTGTCGAAGCTCCGATGAAATGGTGTTCTGTCATTTCCACCACTACGGCTGAGCTCTCCAAAGGCTGAAACTATATCTTACCTGCATATTTACTATAACATCCTACCAGAGTACCTCACACATATTGGAACCTTTACTGAATTGTAAAAGGTTGAAATGTATAAGGCATATAAAAATACATTCCCTGATCTTTTTTGGTATTGTTATTTTAAGTCATTTAAGACAACCAAATGGTTATGAGGCAAATGTAATAATGTTCATCCTAGCAGAGGCAAAATTAAGTAAACAGAAAGCACTGGACAGAAGCCAGGAAGACTGCGCTTCAGTCTTGGCTTTGCCACCCTGTGATCTACAAAATTAACATCTCTGTAAGCCTTAGTTTCCTCATTTATTAAAATGAGGTATGACCAGAATTCAATTCTTGTTTATCTGAGGTTCTATAACATGCTATGTGTCTCTTAAAAATTTTTTGCTACAGAAGTGATACACTTAATATAAAAAGTTTTACATCTCCTTTTGAATTGTTTAAATTCCTACTTTCCATTCTATTTTCAGAACTCTCCAGAGAAAACCACTCTGAACAGTTCCTTCTGTACCTTCAAGACATTCTTCATGCATAAGCAAATACAGTGCTAAGAGTCCTGATTTTATTTACAACCTGGACAGTCCCATAAATTCTAATGGAACCCCGACACAATGAAGGGAAATCAAGTATTGGGTTGACCAAAAAGTCCATGATATTTTTTTTGTATGACTGCTGTAGTGGTGCTTAGTTGTCTTTAACTTCCTTTGAAACAATTTTGTTAGACTGTATTGTCACAGCTGTCTTATCAGTGTGCATTAAAAAATATCAAAATTGGTGAATTTTTGTGCAGCCATTTTAATATTGGAGATAGAAGAAAATATACAGCATTTCTGGCATATTATACTTTATTATTTCCAGAAAGGTAAAAATGCAAAAAAAAGATTTGTGTAGTGTATGGAGAAGGTGCTGTGACTAATCAAATATGTCAAAAGTGGTTTGCAAAGTTTCTTGGTACTATTGACATTTTGGCCAAATAATGCTTTGCTGTGAGGCTGTCTTATGCACCGGAAGATGTTTAGCAGAGCCCCTGGTTCTACCCACTAGAAGAAAATAGTGGGAGATAGCTGACATACTCAAACTCTCCAAATCAACAAAGTTATCAGTGAAAATGAAAAATGTGTCTTTTATTTTACAGAAAAAAGTAATGGACTTTTTGGCCAACCCAATATTTATACTTTGATAGCATAAAGATAATTACCTACTTTCAAAAGACCAACAGTAGAAAATATTAAAACACAGAAATAAGTATTTAAACCAGTGTGCTTTGGCAAATGGGGCTCAGTGGATTGAGTGCTAGCCTGTGGACTGAAAGGTTGCTGGTTCAATTCCCAGTCAGGGCACATCCTGGGTCGTGGGCCAGGCACCCAGTTGGGGTGTGTAAGAGGCAACTGACTGATGTTTCTCCTGCACTGATGTTTCTCTCTCTCTCGTTCTCCCTCCTTTCCTCATCTCTAAAAATAATAATAATAATAATAAAACCCCACTTCCTTTTTGACTCCTGCCTTGTGTAATGTAATGTGAGTACAAGGTATATAAGAAAAGAAACTTAAGGTGGTAAGTTTCTTCTCTACCAGAAGAAACATGGGAGGCATGGTGATTATGGCGAAAGGACTGAGAATCATACTAATATCAGAACCGAAGAGGGATAAGTAGAAAGGGACAAAGTCACAGAATTCACCCTGGCTTGTGTGACTCAGTGAGCTGAGCACTGGCCTGTCAACCAAATGGTCACTGGTTCAATTCCCAGTCAGGGCACATGCCTGGGATGTGGGCACATGCCAGGTCCCCAGTAGGGGGCACACGAGAGGCAACCACACATTGATGTTTCTCTCCCTCCCCTTCTCCTTTCCCCTCTTTCTAAGAAATAAAAAAAATATTTAAAAAGAAAAAATATCACAGAACTCTAAATATTAAAATGGCCAACACAATCCTGAAATATACTATGGGCCTAAAGATAGTCAATTGTAGAAAAGGAAGTAGTAGTTTTTCTATACTAACTCCAGCCCAGAGACAAATGTAGATTACATATGTCCTTCCTTTTTTTGACAACAGCATCCTTTGAAGATCTCCATCTAACAAGGTCATTATGAAACCAAAGGTGAAATAATGATATTTATAACCAGTTCCCTTTAATGGTGGCGAAAATATATGATAAGATGATAGTTGTAAGAATTTTTTTAAAAATTAAGAAAGAGAAAAAGCAGGTCATCCTCAAAGTAGCAAATCAGTTTCCTGAGAATATGGGAAAATGTGTGATCCAATGGCTGGATAGTTAATTTCCCTTTCATTGGGTACCATAGAGTATTGAAACATTAATGACTGTATTAGATAGAGAGCCAAGTCTAACCTCTGTATCCACCTAAGCAACATAGATTTCTCCTAGACATGTCCCCAATTTTATCCTTATATTATAAATTGTTATCATTCTGGACTGTAAAGAATGCTTAAAGGTAAGATAGTAGCCTGGACAAGGATACTGTTCTGCAAAGCTAACACATTACAGAAACAAGCCCACTTTTTAAAACAAAATACGAATATAATTCTATAACATAGGCCACAAATTTAACAACACTTAACCATAAATTACCTAATGATAACTACAGCAATTAAAAAAATCAACAAACTTAGAGTCTTCACCTGGTGTTTTTCTATAACCTAAATACAGTACAATAAATAACCAAAACTATAATTTAGTGTTAATTATTAGGCATTATTTTTTATTTCATTATGTAATTTAACACTGTGTACACAGTGTAAAGTTAGTGAATTTGAAAATAGTTAAGTTCAAGAACCAACCTGTAATATCTCCATTAAATAAATGATTTGTTGAGGATAAGTGAATTCTAGAACTATAAACTTTACCAAATCTACCTTGTCTCCAGACATTTAAAAATACAAACAGAAATAAGGAACTAAAATCATTCTGGCTTCCTGCACCCTTTAGGTTAGGAGGAACAGTATTTCCTGACACTAGAAAATGGCAAGTCAGCCTCGCTTTCACAAGTCAGTGGTTGAAGCTATTGTTTTCAAATTTGGGTAGAATATCATTTTTAGAGTCTAAGATTCCTAAAAGAAATGTTCATGATCAGACATATCTACATTAGAATATAGAACAAAATATATAAAAATATAAAACTAAGTATGTAAAGCAGTAGAGCAGTTCTCAAACTTTAGTCCTAAACATGTTCTGATCTCTCCATTCATCTCTCTCTTCCCTCTAAATCCAATGAAAACTTCCAAGCTAGCCAAACAGAAATTGGTTCAGGAAGCTAAAAGTCTGCAGTGGTCAATCTAAGTCAGAAGTGGCTTGTGTGTTAGCTGCTTCTTGAGTACAAAGGCTCAATACTCAATATGTTCTAATTAAAGTTCAAAGTGAAAAAATTATCAGGAACCAGGCCCCAAAAGTCTCTTTAGAATTTCTCTATTGGAAAGAATAGCACACTGGATGTAATCTATCACTCCAGCCTCACCTGGAGTGAGCTTAGCTATCTGAACCAATATCTCTGTAAAATGTAATTTTTTTTAAGGCACTGGCCAGGTAGCTCAGTTGGTTAGAGCATCATCCCAATACCTAAGGTTGTGGGTTCGATCCCCAAGTCAGGGTACAAAAAGCAATCAATGAATGCATAAACAAGTGGTACAATAAACTGATGTTTCTCTCTCTAAAATCAGTAGATTAAAAAAATTAAAAAGAACTGTAATAACAATATCTGAAGTCTTTGTAGAAAAGCCAATAATAACTAATATATGATCAATACTCCTTGTAAATGGCCTTAAAAGCAGACTCTAAAAGTTAAAGGCCCCAAAGCTAGCTTAAGTCAAAATATAATCGTTCCTTCTTACCATACACCTTCCCACATGCTAAATTACTACTGCAGGGAGCTACTATGCTAACCATTATTTCAAATGATTCCTAGGCAGCTCAAAAGAACGTACCCTGGTTCCTGCTTTCTGTATAAGAGAAAAAATCGATTTCCCAAAAGACAGTCATCCTTGGTAAACAGACCAGTACTGAAATAATCCCGTTATCTGTGTTTCTACTTACCCTCAGTAACATCCTGGGGGTTAGAAGTCCGGTCACTGGCTGGATCCAATGCCACAGTTGCCAGTGAAGTGGTGGCTCCAGACATTTCACTCATAGGCTCACTACGGCTCGTTTCAGGCACACTTTCCCGGGAGCTAAATCTTACTCGGGAACTGGATCGAGAGCTGAGGTCTGGGCTGGTGTCTGACAAACCTGGAATATCATCGATCTTGGTTGGTGTCACCATGAACCGAACTGAAGCCATCTTGGTGGTGGTTTCTGGAGGATGCATTTTTCTTTTCCTTTATAAGGGCAAAGAAAAAAAAAGGAAAAACCAGCAAAATCCTTCCTCCTACGCTAGCTGCTTTTGATCGCAAAAATAGAAAACTTAAAAAAAATCAATTACCTTGATTTATATTACACAAAGAGCCCCAAATAAGAATCTTTATACTCAAATTCAAGCAGACTGTCCTAGAAAGTGCACTACCAATAGCTGAAAAATAATTTTTTAAAAAGACAAAACGGTGTTAATCTCATGTAACTTTGTTCCTTCAGAATGAATAGCTATCTAGCTATGTCTCCTTGTCCAGAGCTGCGGACTCAGTGCCATGGTCTTATAGAAGCAGGAAGGTCTCCTCCCCTCGACCCTCAGGTTTTAGTCCTTTATCTGGTAAATGTCCCACGGTTTTAGTTGAACAAAGTGTGCACAGGCCCACCCTTATCATGCAAATATAGCAGAGAGGTTGCAAAACAGTGTACACCGGCCACCTGTTGTATATCAGGTGAATACCCCACAGGTCTGGCTGGGAGGAGGTGTGTGTAGAGCTACCCGAGGTTTTTGAGGCCGATAATCCACTTGGGTCTGGTGGTAGAGATGCGCAAGCATAACGGGAAAAAATATCCCACACTAGGGCAGAGGAGAATGAGAAGGATGAGAGCAGAGGAGGATGCTGGGGCAGAACGGATTTCTGCCTCCAGAGGTCTGCGGGGGGGGGGTGGCCCGCCTGCTCTTCTCACAGAAAGGTCCCGGGGATCTGGGAAGAGTCGCGAGCAGATGGAGACACCTAACTGCAGTTAAGGGTCGTGGCAGGTCGTTGCTAGTCCATCGAGCTCACGGTCCGCTGGTTGGGTTTCTCTTGCGTGTGACAGGACGGGCCACCCCTTTGCCGAGGGACGCTTTCTCCCCTACCAGGTCCCTGGCGTAGGTCAGCGCCTCCCCGTTTTCCCTTGGAGTCCTAGCAGAAGAGGTGACGGCCTCCCGAGTAGACCCTAGCAATGCAGGAGGGGGCAGCAATGAGAGAAGGAGGTCGCAGGCGCGGGATCCCGACGCCAGCTGATACGCGGTGCGCGCGCAGCTGTTGTTTACAACCCCGTAACTGTTTCAGAGCCGCAGCAGGTCCAGGAGGGCTCGGGCTTTGCGGAGGGCGCCCCCTCCTCAGTGAGGCACCAAAGTAGCAGTTACGTGACCTCCCCGCTGCCGGTCTCCGGTGCGGTGGGCTGTGCAGGAGCCGCTGCAGCTCCTCCCTTCCCTCCTGGCTTATTCCTCTCTGGAGGTTAACGGTCCACGAGAACCCGGGGAGCGATTGGAGGGTGGAACTGTCCCGCTGGTGCCCGAAGCCCCGCCTAGCTTCTGACGCCCGCAGACCAGACGGAGCGTAACTCATTGAGCGCATGCGCTTGCTGAGGTCGCTACGGAGCTGGCGAGTGAGGGGCGGAGCCGAATGTAGTAGGGCAGAAGCAGGGCGGGATTTGTAGTTTGGTGTTTAGACCTGAGCTATCACTGCGCCAGAAAAAATAAACCCTTTCCTTTCTCGGTTCTGCTTTCTTGAGTCTATCCACGATGGAGGCACCTCGGGAAACAGGCACTGCCTTTTGCCCTTAGAATCTCAAAACCCTCTCTTTAATAAAGAGTCTCTGAAAACTCAGGATTAAAAAAAAACCAAAAACCCAAAACCCTCCCACTACCATATATCTAGGTTTGACTCTCCATGAAGTATTTATGCAGAGATCTATTCTAAAGCATTTTATCAGCGATTTTCAAAATGGTGTGCTGCAAGAGCCACACTGGTGTGCCGCAATAATCTAAAAAGCATGCGGTACCTATTCAGTCAGGGGCCCTGACCTCTTTTCCCTTAGATTGTCAAGTTAAAAAAATGACAAAGCCAACAAAATAGCCATCCAGTGTGAATGAATCAAAATTGTATTTTTTTGTCATTTGACAAAAAATGTATTTTTTGATGTGCCACAAAATTTTAGTAATCAGTTTACATGTACCATGAGAATGGGTGGAATATCACTGCATGGCTTAAATAATGTATTTATCTATTAAATATGTAGTTGGTCAACCACAGCTAATAAAGCTGGAAAAAATGCTCTCTTCACTTTCTAGTCAGACTGAACATTCCATTAACAAAAATGCCTTTAATTTAACCCTGAAGATACTTTCTCTGGACTCCATTCCCAGTATTTCCCCTACTATTGCCACCAAAATTTTTTTTTTGTAGCATGTTTACTTAATGCACCAGTAGGTGTTCAGTATATTTTGGTTCATCAATGCTTTCATTTGAGAGAAACATACATATACACACACTACCTATATATGTACACACACTACCTAATATAAATATACTAAACCTTTTAAGACTCTTCTGTTTCTGAGCATATCTCAGATGTTAATAGCTAGGGGATATCTTAAGGAAAAAATCCTTGGCATATTCAGACCAGTTTGCCTTTCTCTTCTCCTTCAATTCAGAGTATTTCCAGGTGGAAGTCTTTTCAATTCAGTCTATATAGAACATAGAATGGACCAAAGTTAATCCTTTGGGGGGGGCAGTAAAGTATAAAGACAGGATTATAGTCAACTTTTTTTTTAATTGGAAGATTTCATCAACTGACTTTGGTGCTTAAGAAATTTCATAGATCTTTTTTCTAGCCATTTGCAGAATTTTTAATATTTCTTCAATCATCCCCTTAACACCAGGAAAACTTTGAAATCTGTCAGATCCATTGCTAAGAACCCCGTAAGTGAATGGGCTAAGAAATAAAAAATTGCTCAAGAGAAAAAACTATTTCTCTATTTCTGTAAGTTAAGGTAATCTAAAAAACATGTCTTTTGTTAACTATAACCAAAGTTTAGAATTTTCTTTCCTCAGCAGTGAACAACTATGCTGAACTTTTCTGCTGAGATGGTCGGACATTCAGATTCCAAGAGGAACATATCTACCCTTTCTAGGGCCAGTCTTAATAAACTGAATTTGCTCTGACTTAAGTTACATCTGCTTCTGGAGTCTAGAATTTTGGTGCAATAGAAAAATATAAATCGGTGGCATTAAGCAAACATTCTAATCCAATGTCAAAAGCCACAAATAAGAAGATTGGGAAATGAATGGATTAACCTGACAAGGAGAAGTACTGTAGAAAGAAAAGCAAGCTAGCATTTTTTGAATGCCCATACACAGTACTTTGCCTCATTTTCCCACTAATGGAATTGAATGAAAAATTTATGGCTGCCCCATGACAGCCACTCCAGTCCTCTGAAATCTCCCAGGTTCTGTTGTTGTTAACCCCCAACAGTAGCTTGAAAAACAAGATAATCCCTGCTTCAATATCTCATATGTCATCTTTTAAATTAAGATCCACATAGTGTTGCACATAGCGGCCAGCTACCAGCTAGTTAAGTTAGGTGTATGTAAGAGGGCAAAGCCTTGATGGAGAGAACTAAAAGCCTGGGAATAGTACCAGAGGAGCAGTAAAGTATACATGAAAGCATTCCTCTTCACAACAGTTGGACAATACTGTAGATATATTAAGGTCCATCACTGAACCTAATCAGTTTTAGAGTTGAAAGAAAACTTGGAAATGATGAAAGTGGGACTAAACAGGTTGACTTTCTTAAAGATATACAAAGAGGGGAGAATCCTGGTCTCCTGACTTCCACATCACTGCCTTTGCTTTACAATATGGCTATTATTTGTCAAACAACTCTTTCATTTTGAGTCAAAATGTCAAGTGTCAAGAAATTACTTGTATTATCACAGGAGTATTTTTCAGTGATTGCTGACAATTACACAAAAGTCTTTCTCGACCTTTCCTTCCCTTCCCCAACACCCTCCTATCACTAATAGTACAGCACTACTGCTACAGCAGCTACTTAAGATTTTCTTCCAAGCTTACTACCCCTTGTTTTACCCCTGGGTTACTCTTCCCTTGCATCTCCCTCATCTTTTCTTAAGCCGCTCTTTTCTTCCCACAATATGTGAAATAAGAGCTTTTTCAAATCATTTTAATAACCTGACAGTGAGCCAAATATAAAAACCAGATTCAAACTTGTTCCCTTAAAGGCGGTAATACCACGATTGCGTCGCACACGCATGATCAAAGGTAATGATGACACCGGATTCCAAAAAGCAAGGGTGACTAGAAGGCTTCCAAGGCTCACAAATTGAAGACCTTGGTTTCGGAAAGTCTCAGAAGGGTCGCAGGCGGCAGGAAAGACATGAAATTTAAGGGCTCCTCAGAGTACAGGGCGCGGTTGCTGGGTCATCAGCACCTTGAAACGTTTCTTGATGGTGATTCGGTGTCTAGAGTATTTGTCGTCTGGGGAGAACCGAGCAGGATGGGCCGAGCAGGTCTGTTGTCCCGTAGGGTCAAATTTCTGCTCGAGGAAGAAAGAGGGGACATAGACTCAGTACAGGAGTGGTGAGAAAACTCAATCACTGGCGTCATAAGGGAGATGGAGGTTGGGACAGGGAGGGGAACGCGACAAAGGGTAAAGAGGCAGACAAGAGGCGCGAAGGTCAAAACAAACCTACACTCCACCTTCTGCCACGCCTGGCTTCTGGGCTTTCTGGTTTCGGCAACTCCGTGGCTGGTTTGAACCTCTCCTCCCACCGACATTTCTCGCCATGCCCATTTACACCCTGTTCCCTCTTCTCACCTTCAAGGTATAGATCCGGTCTCCCTGTTCATTGAGGTAATAGTGGAGAAACATGATCACGCCGAAGCTGGAGTTTCCAATTCCCTCTGCAGGTCAGTCTAACTGACGGCCTCACGTGTTTGTCAACTTCCTTCCGGTATAGCCGGCAGTCTCTCTCAAGGCATGCTGGGAAAAGTAGTTCATTGTAGGCCTTTCTCCAGCTAGGCAGAAGGCGGCGCACTAGTGCAAGGACTTGGCCCAAAGTTGCAACCAAGTTGCAACCTTGCAGGCCTTGGAGCCAGTTGCAGCGTTGCAGGCGTTTTAAGACACATGGAATGTGCCCATTGTGTGCCAGACATTGCTAGACTTTACAGGGGGATAGGGATGGATATGAGTTGAACATTAGTGAATAGAATCCTGTCTTTATCACAAGCTGCACATCCATTACCAGGGCGGTGGTTTTCTAGTGCGTGGAAAAACAAAGGGGTGCAGGATTCAGGGCCCCTTTACCTTAGGGAAGAAAGAAAGTTTTCTTTCCTCCCCTCTTTGACACCCGATTCCCTCGCCCTGTTTCAAAGTATTGGCGGTAAAGAGTGCATGACGGGTATCCAATATTCTGTACACCAAAGAGAGCGTGCAGTTATGGAACCGGTGAAGTATGTTTTAGTGGTCGAACCAAGATTCAGACTCAGGTCTCTATCACAAATTCAGCGTGATTTCTTATAGGGGTGAGTACCTAATAATAGCATACTAAGATCTGTCTCCTAGGGGTATTTCGAATATTGTAAAGGACGGAGAGATTCTCCTTATAGGACTCTAGTTTAAAGAAATGAAAATTGAAACTCAGGTAACACTACAAAGATGATTGTTCAGTATTATTTATAATCGCAAAAATATTGCAACATATATTAAATTTTATAACCAGAAGAACCTGAAAACTTCTTTAAAAAAAAAAGACTATAAATGTAATGATACAGGCGTATTTACTTGTAGTGCCTGAAATAGCGCTGCAACCATTCACAAGAAACATAATATTGGTTCCCTTGAGACAAAGAACTCCGGTTCCAGGGGAAAGGAGTGGGAGGGGAGACTGCGGTACACCATTTTGTACACTTTCACTTTGGAACAATGTTAATGCAGTGCCAATGAAAGAGTTAAAATTACTGAACAAAACTTTTAAACCAAAAAATAATTTAACAGGTAAAAAAGGACTTTTTGGTCTTGATATTTTAGGCTAAATGCCAGTTTTTGCCAGTGTGGGGCTTTTCAGCCAAGGTCTAGGGCTGAGACTTCTGGGGCTTGCAGAGCTGATGGCAGTGGACTGTTTGGGAACTCCAGAACAACTTTCCAAGGAAATGATATGCATACAGCAAACAAACACTCTGGGTCTTTCCAGACCTTGCAAATATCCTAATTTCAGATATTCCGTTCCCTGGATACTTAAGTACACATAGTATGTATTCTGAGTTTGGTTCAGAAAATAGAGTCAACATTGACTTAAATCAAGAGTCTGCCACAACCTGCTGTTAATAAAGAGTCACAGAACTGAGTGGGATTGAAAGGCACAAAATTAAATATATTGATGAAGAATTGTATAGGGAATGGAGATGTAAAACTGTAATGTTGGGAATCTAGAATGTATTTGCACATTGCCCTAAAGAGGTACACGACCATAGTGTTGCCATACTCTGGTTTGTTGGGAACTCCTGGTTACTGACTTTACCAGAGCCCCGTGTGGAATAACTCCCTACCCCCACCTCACATTTCCTCTCCCCTCCCCCACAGCAGAATGCCTCGAGTCCTAGATTCTAGTTCTCTTTTGATCTAATCTTTACCCTTCCCTCCTTGGATCCCTGTGTATCTGGTGGAGCCAGGTTTCTCTCTGGGTCCTGGACCAGACTTTCTCATTCTGGAGGCTTCCAGACAGTCACGGTTAGTGCCCAAGCCTGAAAGGATGACTTCAGATGGAGGTAAGTCTACAGGTGTCAGGGAGGGTCCTTGGCGATTCAAATTTGACACTTTACCTAGGAATGAGCACTTTAGACTGACCTGGAGGGATGTGAGAGTACTAGACCAAAGGCATCACACTTGGGGAGGTTGGGGAAGGAAATCGTGCCATTAAGACCAGGGGTTGGGGAAGGAAGAGGGCCTCCTGGGAGGCGGATTGAAGCATCTTAGAAGGGAGTCCCAAGGTGTAGAGAAAGGATGGCAATTAGCAATTTGCTGCTCTGGAAGAGAGACCCCTTCAATATGTGGCAGGGACAGGAGTATGTGTGGTGTTTGTGGCACAGAGGGGAAGGTATCTTCAGGTACTTGGAGCTTGATTTAGAATTTTACAGTGAGAGAATCAAGCTGGGGCCACTCTCGATGTATTGGGGGGTAGAGTGGGGTGGGGTGGAGGCCTTAGCTGGAAAAACTGTTCAATGGGGTTATCTGTTGCCAAATCTGCAGAGAAATGTCCTCTTGAGAGCTAGCTTGGCAGGTACTCTAAGTGCCCCTGCCCAGAGTTTCATGGCTCCTTCCTGCCCCAGATATGGTTTCTCTCTCAGTCCAAGGAGCAGTTTTCCTTGATTCCCCCAGGGCCAGGGGAGGTGGGTCACTCCGGGCAGAATGAGAGCTGTGGCTTCAATGAGGAGCTCTCAATTTTTCTACTTTTTGTGGAACTTGGGCCTTCAGAACCCATTTCACTGTGTCTGAAATTCTGACCTGCCTTATGGTAGAGATGATGAGTCTGCTCATATTCCCTGTCTCCTTCAAGGTCAGGGAGCAGAAGCTGAGTGTTGTTAGTTTGCCAGCAGAGTATTCTTTATAAGGAAGATGAGAGTAGCATGAAATTAGGCAGATGGCCTATTATTATTATAAAAAGCCCTGGGAGACACATGTCCTGATTAATTCAGCAATGTTTTATGTATTTATTCTTGGTCTCTTTGAGCTCACATAGCTCCTCCTTAGCAAGTAGTGTGTTTCTAACTTCATTGTCAGTGCCTTGTTCTTGGTAGGTTTTACATTTCTGATAGCAGCTCCAAGCAGAAAGACCATAGATAATCTGCATCACCAAATTTAACATGTGCAGCAGCTATGTGAGGCTCTGGGAAACTCCCATTCCACACCGCCCCCCTTCCCTCACCCATTTCCTGGCCCTTATCTCTAGTCATTCCTGGCTATTATATAACAAAATTTCTGAGAACCAAACATTCAATCCACACCCCCTCTCCTGGGAACAGTACTTCTGTGAGTGGTGGCAGGGACCACAGAGCAGCTGAAAGCAGCATTCAGGTGGTTTGAATGTGTCTGGAATATGTTGGAATCAGAGACTTACCTGTATGTCGGGTGGGCTGAGTATGAGCTCTTGGGGCCAAGGGACATCAAAACCACTTGAGAGACATTTGCAAACTATGCAAGTTCCCCCTCCATATACCCTTCCTCACCTGTTGAGAAACAGAGCTCTGATTCTTCGAGGACTAAAGTGGAACTCTGATAACCTACTTTCTGGTCTGCTTTTCTCCCACTCCATTTCATCTTTTTCTTTGTCTCAACAGTAACTCCATTGCCTGGACCAGATATGACCTTGAAACCTGGCACTGCCCTGTCTCCTTTCACTGCACTTCCCATTCCCCCATCTGCTCCTGGCCCACCAGACCAACCACTCTGGGAGCTGCCTCCACAGCCCCCCATGCCCCCAGCTTTATCTCCAGGCAACGCGCTGATGATCTCTGCTTTCCCTAATCCATTGCTGGTGACAGGAGATGGGGGCCCTGGCCACAGTGGGGCTGAAGCCGGCAAGGTCATTGTCAAAGTCAAGAAAGAAGGGGGGGCAGCTGAGTCCTCTCAAATTCAGAACTTTATCCTTACTCAGACTGCCCACAATTGGATTGCCTCAGGTGCTCCCTGTGGGGGCCCTGAAGGCCCATCCCCTCAATTTGTGATGGCCTCTAACATGAAGGCCCTTCTGCCCACCGAGGCTGTTGTGGTGAGTCAGGAGGGCCTCCCAGGCCTTCCTGCTCAGGCTCCAGCACCAGCTGCCCACCTGGTCCCCATTGTGTCTCCGGAAAAGGCTTGGCCAGGGCCACATGGATCAGCTGGAGAAGGAGGCCTGGCAGCAGCCCAATCCAAGCCGGCACTGGGCGACCTCTCCTATGCCTCTAACGGTGTTTATGAGAACTTCCGTCGCTGGCAGCTCTACAAAGCCTTGGCTCGGAGGCACTTATCCCAAAGTCCCGATGCAGAAGCTCTTTCCTGCTTTCTTATGTAAGTGGGGAGACCTGAGATTAATTCTGAGATTAATTATCCTAGAGCTTTTAATTAAGGAGGGCTTTGGGTTGAACAAAAGAGGTCAGGCTAGGTAGGAATACTTGAGGGCAGGTCATGAGGGTGATGGAGAGGCTAAGATGGAGAGGTAATGGTGATGATGACGATGATGGTAAGATTCTTTATCCACTTCCCAGTTTATAACAAGACTTCAGGTGTCTTTCAAGTAGTGCTCACAATTCTGCAGTTCTGGAAAGCATTTTATGGTAATCCTCATTTATAAGATGAGAAGACCCATGAGAAACCTCAGAGAGGTTTCCTGTCATAAAGTGTGGAGAAATGATCGCATACATGGAGTTGAGCTGTGCAAACCTGCCAGGATTAGGACTTCTGGGCCCTGACCCATTCCTGTGTGGCGGGGGAGGAGAGTATGGGGCCAGGCAAAGGGCCTTCTGAGTGTCCCCTTCCACCACCCCTATTTTATTCATGGGGATTCTAGTTGAGATGGGGAGATGGCAGAGCTTGCTCAGTAGTTGAGGGCCTAGGCTCCACCAGTCCCTAGATTTGTGATCCTGGGCTCGGCACTTCATATCTTCCCCCTCATTTTTCTCATCTAGAAAGGGGATAATTACACCTACTACCTCAGAGGGTTGCTGAGAAGATGAAATGAGTTAGTATATATGAAGTGCTTAGCAGAGTGCCAGGCACAGAGAATGCTTCACTAAGTGGTAGCTGTTGTTGTTGCTGCTGTTATTATTATTACAAAAAGGAAATCTAGAAGAGAAAAAAAAACTCAGAAAAGGCCAAATCTTTTGCTTAGGAGTATGAGTGGATGCTTAGCCAATCTGCCAGGGTCATGGGCTGTCTTTCGTGTTTATAAAACAGAATCATTGG